GCGCTGGTGGTGGCTGGTCCCTGGGGGTTAAGACTGTGGGTGGAAGCTAGGAGGAGGGGGCTTAAGCAAAACTGCATGCAGTTTAGTTTTGTTTTTTTGAGACGGAGTTTCACTCTTGTTGCCCAGGCTGGAGTGCAATGGCACTATCTCAGCTCACTGCAACCTCCGCCTCCTGGGTTCAGGCAATTCTCCTGCCTCAGCCTCCTGAGTAGCTGGGATTACAGGCATGCGCCACCATGCCCAGCTAATTTTTTTTTTTTTTTGTATTTTTAGTAGAGACGGGGTTTCACCATATTGACCAGGATGGTCTCGATCTCTTGACCTCGTGATCCACCCGCCTCGGCCTCCCAAAGTGCTGGGATTACAGGCGTGAGCCACCGCGCCCGGCCTGCAGATTAGTTTTTTGCTGTCTGTGTCCTAAAGGGAGTAGGTGTAGGGAGATTGATGACCTTTTATTATAAATCAGATTCAAACGTGGCAAAAAGGACATCTCTAAGAAGGGAGAGGAGAAAAAAGGAGGGAGAGGAAGAAAAAGGAAAAGAGAAGGTATAAAGAGGACAGAGAAATTGGGGGGAAAGACAGGGATATAATAGAGGGAAAGAGGAGGGGCAGGGAACGCAGCAGAGAGAGGAGGGGCAAGAGGAGAGACAGAATGTGGGGCATGATGGACACTCACGGGGAAAGGAAGCAGGAAGAAAGGCTCAGTGCTTCCTAAAGCGAATTGCTGAACATAAAAATGAACAGGCAGTACAGGAGTGGGATGAGTCTGCCGGAAATAGAGCCGGCAAGTTTGAGCCTCAGCAAAGGGGACCACACAGCTCAGGGTGGGAAGCTCCAGGCCCCAGGATGGGGGCCACACTTTCAAGACCTCCTTCTCCAGTTACCCTGTGGCAGCCTCCCTAGGGCCTGGAGCTGTCCAGATGCCTGGTGCTAAAATGTCTGGCTGATCACCGGCCTCTCAGACAGAGGCTTGCAGTCATCCTGAAACTACTTGCTAAGCACCCACTGTAGGCCAGACAATATTCCAAGCACTGCAGAAGTCAGCAGTGAATAAAACCAAGAAGAATTTCTGTCCTGATAAAGTTTTATTTCAGTGGAGAAAATAAGACGCACAACAGTGTGTCAGTAAAGTCCTACGGAGAAAAAACAATCAGGAAATGAGAATGAGGAGTTTAGCATCTGTATCCCAAATAGTGGTCACATGCAGTTCCCACAGAGGTGACACAGTGTCAGAGGGCACCTGGGCTGGGAAGTGGGCCCTCACACACAGGCTATGCTGATGCTGGCTCACGGCCACAGACACTCGCAGCTGGGTGATCTGTCAGAGGCCAGACCCCAACCCCAGCCCCAGGAAGCTGCCCATCTTCTCTCCGATGGCCTCTCAATGTTCTTCCCTCAGACCATCTGGGCCTCTGCTGTGCAAGAGAAACAAGTTTCCACCCTGTGTGTCCTGCACCAGCTCAGGTCTGGATGAGTTGAGACATTGCGCTCTGCTGTGTCACTGAGTCAACTCAGGCAACCCACTTCCTCATTCAGGCTTCATTTTACTTGCCTATAAAACAGGGACAATGATCCCTGCCTAGTGAACAGTGAGTAACAGAGAGGCTGGTGGCTGTATAAGCGCTTACTGCTTTATCCTTCTCCCTGCAAGTATGTTCCTGAAGAGCACCAGCCTTGGGGTCCACAAAAGCCCAGAGACAGCAGGGGCTGAGATCCAAATCTCACTGGGTCCCTCAGCGTCAGTCACTGGATCCTTGTCCTGGAGATACTGGGGACAAGAAAGGCCCAAGGGCAGTGAGCCTGGGAAACTATACTTGCCTCTGGGGGATTCACAATGCTCACTGCCCAGTCCAGGCTCTGGGAACATATACTCCAAGAACTGTGTTTCAATCCTTTGGCCACGAAACTCACTCTTTTCCTCTCCTTTTTGGAGAAACACCTATCATCATCCTGAAGGCACCCTGGAAAGTGCTGGGCTGCGATTTGTGAGGAACTTGAGAATCCCTGTCCCAAAGAGACAATGGTGAAGGTTTATAGGGCCCTGTACCTTCAGCTTTTAGTGTGTGCTATCACGTAACAAGTGCTTAATAAGCATTTGATGGGTGGGTGGGTGGATGAACGCATGGATGGCTGGACAGATGCATATCTTGTTCTACTCACTTCAAATGGTAAGAATCACAGGGAGGAAGGTGAAAGTGATTCGAGCCCCAAGGACTCAGGGTAGAATCATTCAGAGCCCCTCTAGACCATCAGTTTGGCTGGAGAACAGACGGAACTTACTCATTCACTGATTCATTCACACAACACACAGTGGTAAGAGCAGCATTGGAGATTAGCACTGGAAACCACAGGAACAATCATGAGGGGACAATTAACTAAATGTGGGGGTGCTGGCGGCCAGAGATGGCTTCCTGGAGGTGAGCCTGAAGGGCCCTTTGGGGGAACCCACTTCAAGGGCTCCAGCCCTCATGCAATTTTTTCCAGCCACAAGAGTGATGCCTGCGGCTTCTTGGACTGCATAGGCAGCTTCAATCTGATGATTGTGGCCCCCTGGCCTCAACAGAATCCATCTTGGAGCCCCCTTTTAACCCCAAACCCCGATTCCTCCTTGCTGTCAGCTGCTTGTGAGCCTTCTCACATCCAGAGAATATATCAGCATTCTGCAGACCGAAAAGACCCAAAGGAACAAGGTTCCAATGGCAAAATTCCAACTAGAATGACAAATAAATGGGGAGCTATGTGAAAGCAAGGGAATCCTGCCCAACACCCCCCACCCCCCAAGCCTTCCTCAGGCACCTCAGACCAGCCACTCACCTCCATCCTCCCAGCACCACCTGCGACCAGCCCCTTGCCCCCTGTAAACTGGAGCATGACTGGATCTTGAGATGGGGGAAAATGCTTCATCATGTTCTGCTTCTTCATGCAAAACCAGAAACTCCCTCCCCCTCTTCCCTCCTCCCCAGCGCACTCTCCTTCCAGTAAAACGTGGTTAAAGGGACAGCGCCATCACTTTCCCAGCTCTGAGGGTATGCTTAGAACCAGGGGGCTGGGAAGGAGACAGAGGGTAAAGAGAAAAGAACTGGCAGAGCTCTTTCCTGGGGGATCTGTCTGTTCTGTCCTGGTGATCCTGGAGCAAAAAAGCCGGGTAAAGTGGGGGTGTCGTGGGGGTTGAGATACTGCCTGCGGGAGGTTTGGAGTGGGAGCAGGAGTCTACAAACTCTCAAGGGGGTCTCAAGGCTCCCGACATCCCCAGGGGTTCTTTTGCAGGGGTCCCTGTGCAGAAAGAGAGCCCAAATGTGTGTGGGAGAACATCACAGAAAACAGGAAACCGGACCCCTACGGGAAGTCCAGGGAGTGGTCCCTAGCTCACTGTGTGACCCTGCTGAATCACTCACTTCCCCTCTCAGGTCCCCAAAGCACAGTGTGCCTCCCTCCACTCCCGTAAAGGTAAAAGCGGACGTTAAACTCCCCGCACCAGAGAACAGCCCCTGTCCCCGGTGCTGAAGCACCAGCCGCAGCGGCCACCCCCACTCTCAAGGCATAAAACACGAGCCAAAACCAATAAAAGAACCAAATGTCTCGGCCGTTGCAGGTCCCCCTTAATCCCGGGGACCCCTTTTTCTACCTAACGTCCTATTGGGATGAGGGACTTGGGTACCCAGAAAGCATCCCACCACTTTTCTGGAAGTGAGAAGGGATGCCGACTCAGCTGCTTGCTTGTCTGTTACGGGGGTGGGGGAAGAGAGGACAAGTTGAGGCTGAGAAGATGCGGAGGGGGAATGAGGAAGGAGGACTTCCTAGTGGTGGGAGAACGGAAAGATGTGGGTCTCCGTCCCCAATTCCCCCAGAGACCCCTCAAAGTGGAACTTCCTGGGGCAGTCGGGGGTCAGGACTTGTAGCTTGTCTCTGGGGCAAGACCCCTTCATTTCACAGATGGAAAAGCAGGGGTGGAAGGACACAGCTTGTCCAAGGTCATTCAGCCAGCAAACTGCCTAGCTGACCCCAGTGTGCAGAACCTGGCTCAGCTGACTTCCAGCACACCCATCATTTCCCCCGACCCCACACAGAGGCTCTCTCAGCTTCATGCCCAAGCCCCCCCTACAGTATCCCCACTCCAGGTTCTCTGCCCCTCAAACTCAGCCCAGGTTCCTTCTGCCTGCCTATTCAGGGGACCCTCTGCCCGCTTTGCTGAGGGTCCGTCCCCTTTACTGGGGCTAGCAACAGAGACTCCCGTCTCCTCTCTTGGGGGCCACTGCAGACTTTTTAAAGAATGCTTTGCCCCCCCCCAACCCCACCCATCCGGCGTTCCCTCTCGCCATCCTCTGCAGTGTCTCCCATATCCCAATTCAGGGTGGCCTTGCTATTCTCCCCAACTCCAGGCCTCCCTCCCTCTATTCCGGGGCTGGCCGTGGAGTTTCCTGAGCGCTCACCAAGTGGTTCCTCTCCGTTAGGAGAACATTGTACCTCCCCCGGTCAGGGGTCGCCTGTCTCCGTTCTATGGAACGTCCACGCCCCCATTCAGGACTGCTTTGCTTCCTCTTCTATTCCGGGGCTGGCTGCACCCCCTATCCTGAGGGCCTCTCTAACTATTCGGAAAGCCTCGTGTCTTCTCTTACACAAGGATCCCCTCATCCTAATGACTGCAATCTTCCATTGCCCCATCCCGAGGGCACTCTGCCCCTATTCCCATCAGGTCTCCTTGTCCTCTCACTGTTCCAGGTCCCCTTTCTTATTTCGAGCACACTCTCAGGATCTTCGGACCCGCACCCGGGGGTCCTCACTGGCCCCCTCCGGGAGTCCTCTGCCCGCTGCCCCGACCTCGGGGGTCTCCTCTGACGCAGCGTCGATTCCCTCTCCCTCCTCGGTCCCCTGCCCCGCCCCTCTCACTGCGGCGGAGCCGGTCGGCCGGGGGCCCGCAGGGGAGGAGGCGGAGAGGGCGGGGCCCTCCTCCCCACCCCCTCACTGCCAAGGGGTTGGACCCGGCCGCGGTGGCTATAAAAGGGCCGGCGCCCCGGTGCTGCCGCAGTGCCTCCCGTCCCGCCCCGGCCCCGCGCACCTGCTCTGGCCATGATGAGCTTCGGCGGCGCGGATGCGCTGCTGGGCGCCCCGTTCGCGCCGCTGCACGGCGGCGGCAGCCTCCACTACGCGCTGGCCCGAAAGGGCGGCGCAGGCGGGACGCGCTCGGCCGCCGGCTCCTCCAGCGGCTTCCACTCGTGGACGCGGACGTCTGTGAGCTCCGTGTCCGCCTCGCCCAGCCGCTTCCGCGGCGCCTCGAGCACCGACTCGCTGGACACGCTGAGCAACGGGCCGGAGGGCTGCGTGGTGGCGGCGGCCACGGCGCGCAGTGAGAAGGAGCAGCTGCAGGCGCTGAACGACCGCTTCGCGGGCTACATCGATAAAGTGCGGCAGCTGGAGGCGCACAACCGCAGCCTGGAGGGCGAGGCGGCGGCGCTGCGGCAGCAGCAGGCGGGCCGCGCCGCAATGGGCGAGCTGTACGAGCGCGAGGTCCGCGAGATGCGCGGCGCGGTGCTGCGCCTGGGCGCGGCGCGCGGTCAGCTGCGCCTGGAGCAGGAGCACCTGCTCGAGGACATCGCGCACGTGCGCCAGCGCCTCGACGACGAGGCCCGGCAGCGCGAGGAGGCCGAAGCGGCGGCCCGCGCGCTCGCGCGCTTCGCGCAGGAGGCAGACGCGGCGCGCGTGGAACTGCAGAAGAAGGCGCAGGCGCTGCAGGAGGAATGTGGCTACCTGCGGCGCCACCACCAGGAGGAGGTGGGCGAGCTGCTCGGCCAGATCCAGGGCTGCGGCGCCGCGCAGGCGCAGGTACAGGCCGAGGCGCGCGACGCCCTCAAGTGCGACGTGACGTCGGCGCTGCGCGAGATCCGCGCGCAGCTTGAAGGCCACGCGGTGCAGAGCACGCTGCAGTCCGAGGAGTGGTTCCGAGGTGCGCAGGCGCGCGGCGGGGTGGGGAGGGGCACCCCCCCCCCCCCCGCTGACCCCGCAGCGAGCGTCCGGGCGGTGGGACCCGAGGGGGCGCTGCAGGACTGCGTGTAGAGTCGCGCGCTCAACTTCTCTTTGAGAAGTGCATACCGCTAGTTAAATCACGATTTTACTCTGGGTCTCTTGTGGGATGCCCCAACTCTGGGTTGTCCTTCGGTTGCCCTTTTCCAGGTTCTTTATGGCTGTACTTTAACTTTGGGCGCCCCACTGCTCTCTACCCTAAGCTTGGGCGACCCCATTCTGAGGTCCCTCCCCTGTCAAGAACAAAGCAAGTTTCCTCTATAGCTCCAAAGTGGTGTACGATTCCGGTCTGCAAGCGCCAGAGACTCTTAGCCCTTATAAGTGGCAAGCCTTCCCCGCCAACGCTGCCGTCCCCTCTCCTGCACCCTGCAGGGAACCCTATTCCTCTTACCCCTACCAGGCTCCTCCCTTCTACCCGCTCAGTGCTTAACCTCCCTACTTTAATCTTCCACGTGGGGTGGAGCAGGACCTTTTCGCATCCTTTCTTACTAGGGGGAACCATTACCACAATCAATTGCCTGTGGCCGAAGTGGCACGTGGGCCCTTTCATGTTTTAATGTACCCTTTCTCCTTTAGGGAAGCTGGGAGCCTCCCAAGTCTGCCCCTCCCCCAACTCCTTGCAGCCCTGCGTCAGCTAGATTGCACTGCCTGAGGCTGTGCCCAGCGGCTGCTGAGTGACCTTGATCAACACTTGCCCTCTCTGATTTTCATTTCTTGTTGAGTTGAAAGAGTGGGGTATACCAACTGGGCTACTTAATCCGGGGAGTTCCTTGATCTCTCACGAAACTGTTTATAAAACTTTGTGGTGTTTTTGGGAGACAGGGCAGAGGCTTCAGTGATTTTCAAATGGGTCTGTGATCTACGATAGTTGAGAATCCTTAACCACCTTGATGGTTTCTAAGTCTTTGCCAGCACTAGCAGGGAAAGCCAGGCAAGCTGGGGTTTGGATGCTTAGCTTTTTCTGTTCCTTTTCCACTCCTCTGCAGAGCAGAACCTTACCATCCCCTCCTCCATCCCCGCAGCAAGGCTCGTCCCTGCGCAAACCTCTTTTGGGTTTGCCAGTCATAGGGGCAGGAGTCCCAGGATTTTTTTTTTTTTTTTTTTCCGTATTTTTAGTAGAGACAGGGTTTCTCCATGTCGGTCAGGCTGGTCTTGAACTCCCTACCTCAGGTGATCTGCCTGCCTCAGCCTCCCAAAGTGCTGGAATTACGGATGTGAGCCACCGCGCCTGGCCGCATCCCAGGATTTTACTGGCTTACTCAGCTGGCTTCCTTCCTTTCTCCCTCCCCAACAACACTTATGTCCTGGGTGCCACTTATCTGGGGATTTAGGATGCTCACTTTCAGGAGCTAGAGGCCAGTTTCCAGACCTCCACTGCCCCTGGAAGGTTTCCTGGGAACCAGGAGCTGGTTGTTGGCAGGGGCCGGGTGTGGCTACCATTGCTCAAGGGCAGTGCCCAGCTAGGGGGAGAAAGGGACAGAAGGGCTGGCACCCAGGCCTCAGGCTCTGCAGTGACCTTGGACTCTTCACGAAAACTTGTAAGGAAGGCTGGAAGGTGACCTGATTGCTCACCGTACCTTCCTATCTCCTAAATGTTACAAGCCACAAGCCTCCAGCCTCCAACTCAGTGTTAAGCCCCAGGGGCCAGGTATCACATCTGAACCCCCAACACTGCCAGGCCCTTGCTAGGAAGCTGGACCAGGCATTAGGACCTGGGTTTCCTCTGCCCTGCCCAGTTTTGGGATCCCACACTGGGGGAGACAGAGCCTGATCTTTGGGGATTTGAGTCCCAGCTCTGCCACTCACTGGCTGGGTGGCCTTGGGGAGTAGTCACTTGCCTTTATCTCACAGGACAGAGTGAGTCAAGCAGCCAGGATGGTACCTGGCACCCAGCAGGCCAATCCATGTGTGTCACCTTCAAAGTCCGGACGTTAGAACCCAAATCCAGATGTGTCTAACCCTGTGCCCTGCTCCCTTCTCCCCCAGTGAGGCTGGACCGACTGTCAGAGGCAGCCAAGGTGAATACAGACGCCATGCGCTCAGCGCAGGAGGAGATAACTGAGTACCGGCGTCAGCTGCAGGCCAGGACTACAGAGCTGGAGGCACTGAAGAGCACCAAGGACTCCCTGGAGAGGCAGCGCTCCGAGCTGGAGGACCGTCATCAGGCTGACATTGCCTCCTACCAGGTGGGCAGGGGCAAGGCACATGGTCACACTGCCTTACCTGACTGGGTAACCCTGGACGAGTGACTGCCCCTCACTGAGTAGGGTTGTAGTGGTTAAGACTGTGGCCCTTGGAGTCAGACATACCAGCACTTTCCAGCTGCGTGAGCCTAGGAAAGTTATCTAATTGTCTGAATCCAAATTCCTTTCCAACAATTAAAAAATAATAATAATAATAATAAGTGTGCCTTGCAGAGCTGGAAAGATTAAAGAGATACACTTTTATTTATTTATATATTTATTTTGAGATGGAGTCTCACTCTGTTGCCCAGTTTGGAGTGCAGTTGCATGATCTCCGCTCACTGCAACCTCTACCTCCTGGGCTCAAAAGATTCTTGTGCCTCAGCTTCCCAAGTAGCTGGGACTACAGGCGTGTGCCACCACACATGGCTGATTTTTGTATTTTTAGTACAGATGGGGTTTCACTATGCTAGCTAGTCTGGTCTCAAACTCCTGGGTGCAGGCAGTCCTCCTGCCTTGGCCTCCAAAGTGCTGGGATTACTGGTGAGCCACTGCGCCTGGCCTCAAGAGATAGACTTTAAATGAGATTAGTGTACTTGTGAATGAGCTTGGCATGGTCTTCGACATTCGATTCTTTCTAGATCTGAATCCCAGCTCTGCCACTCACTAGCTCGGTCTTGGTCACAATGGACATTTGGTAAACAGCAACCAGTGTCTTTGGGTGGCCAGGGGAAGGCCTTGGCAGATTCTTCCTTTTAAAGATAACTAGTGGCCAGGCATGGTGGCTCATGTCTGTAATCCCAGCACTTTGGGAGGCCAAGGCAGGCAGATCACTTCAGGCTGGGAGTTTGAGAACAGCCTGGGCAATACGGTGAAACCCTATCTTTACTAAAAATACAAAAATCAGCCAAGCGTGATGGCTCACACCTGTAATCTCAGCTACTAGGGAGGCTGAGGAAGGAGAATCACTTGAACCCAGAGGCAGAGGTTGCAATGAGCCGAGATCATGCCACTGCACTTCCAGACTGGGCGACAGAGTGAGACTCCGTCTCAAAAATAAATAAATAAAAAATACAAAAATACAAAAAAGTTAGCCGGGTGTGGTAGCGTGCGCCTGTATCACCTCTGTATCACATGTATCACCTCTCCTCCCCAGGAAGTCCCAGCTACTCAGGAGGCTGAGGCACGAGAATCTCTTGTGCCCAGGAGTCAGGGGTTACAGTGAGCCGAGATGGTGCCACTGCACTCCAGCCTGGGCAACAGAGTAAGAGTCTGTCTCAAAAAGTAAAAAATAAAAATAAAGATAACTGGTGAGAGAAAGTACTACTTTCTAAGAACTTAGCATGCAAGTAATATATAATATATAGTGATTATAGAATAATTAGAAAATCGAGAAAAAAGAAGAGACGATAAAATTAGCCATAACAATTCACATTAAACGGTGGCTACAGTGGGCCTCGGGTTGGGCGAGAAATTTCAAGTCTCCCCAAATCCCAGGACCAAGTTTCAAGTTTGAGTGTCGTCTCAGTCATCAGTGCTTACCAGACGCTAACTATGTGGCGGACACTGTGGCTCACCGGGGAAAGACAGGAGCAAAAGCAGACAAGGCCCTGCTTCCACTGTGCTTTTTTTTAGCTTCTTTTTTGAGACACAGTCTTGCTCTGTAGCCCAGGCCAGAGTGCAGCAGGCGAGATCATAGCTCACTGCAGCCTTGAACTCCTGGGCTCAAGTGATCCTCCTGCCTCAGCCTCCTGAGTAGCTGGGACTACAGGTGTACATTACCATGCCCAGCTAATTATTTAACTTTTTTCTAGAGATGAGGTCTCACTGTGTTCCCCAGGCTGGTCTCAAACTCCTGGGCTGAAGCCATCCTCCTGCCTTGGCCTCCCAAAATGCTGAGATTACAGGTGTGAACCACCAGAGTCTTGCCATGTTGCCCAGGCTGGAGTACAGTGGTGCGATCTCAGCTCACTGTAACCTCCACCTCCTGAGTTCAAGCAATTCTCCTGCCCTCAGCCTCTCAAGTAGCTGGGATTACAGACATGCGCCACCACACTCAGCTAATTTTTGTATTTTTAGTAAAGACAGGGTTTCACCATGTTGGCCAGGCTAGTCTCGAACTCTTGAACTCAAGTGATCCGCCCGCCTCACCTTCCCAAAGTGTTGGGAATACAGGCATGAGCCACCACTCCCATCCTCACTGAGCATTTTCTAAGTTCAAGATCTCCAAAAGTTCTCCCATTATCCTGCCAACCAAACCAGCAATAACCACTGTTGACATCTGATGAATTTCATTCCAGACCTTTCCCAGGCTAAGGTCATTATTCAGCAGGATTTTTGCTCCAGATTGTTTCATGTCGACTACTGAGGACCTTACAGCTCTGACACAGTAGGGGTTGGCCCCAGTGAGCCTGGCTGGACGGGCCTGCTCTGGGGTTGCACAGCCCGCCGCAGCTTTCCTGGTACTGAGGGCCAGGCTCTGGCTGGCATGTGACATGTATCACCTCTCCTCCCCAGGAAGCCATTCAGCAGCTGGACGCCGAGCTGAGGAACACCAAGTGGGAGATGGCAGCCCAGCTGCGAGAATACCAGGACCTGCTCAATGTCAAGATGGCTCTGGATATAGAGATAGCCGCTTACAGGTGAGGTGCACAGGGGCCGTCACATGGTGGAGAAACCTTGTGTTCCTACCAGATGCTAAGCCTTGGGTTTCAAACCCCTGTTTAGGCAGCCTACCTGTCTTAGGGACAAAAGTCTTTTAAAATTTCAGCAAAATAGACATAATATAAAATTTACCATTGAACCAATTTATTTTATTTATTTATTTATTTATTTTTAAGATGAAGTCTTGCTCTGTTGCCAGGCTGGAGTGCAGTGGCATGATCTCAGTTCACTGCAACCTCTGCCTCCCAGGTTCAAGTGATTCTCCTGCCTCAGCCTCCTGAGTAGCTGGGATTACAGGCGCGTGCCACCACACCCGGCTAATTTTTGTATTTTAGTAACTACAGGGTTTCACCATGTTAGCCAGACTGGTCTCGAACTTTTGACCTTGTGATCTGCCTGCCTCGGTCTCCCAAAGTGCTGGGATTACAGGCGTTAGCCATTGTGCCTGGCCTATTTATTTATTTTTTTGAGACAGAGTCTTACTGTGTTGCCCAGGCTGGAGTGCAGTGGTACGATCTCTGCTCATTGCAACCTCTCCCTCCCAGGTTCAAGTGATTCCTGTGCCTCAGCCTCCTGAGAAGTTAGGATTACAGGTGCCTGCCATCACACCTGGCTTATTTTTATATATTTTTTTAGTGGAAACGGGGTTTCACCATGTTGGCCAGGCTGGTCTCGAACTCATGGTCTCAAGCCATTTGCCCACCTCAGCCTCCCAAAGTGTTGGGATTGCAGGCGTGAGCCACCACGCCCAGCCCCATATAACCGTTTTGAGTAGATGGTTCCATGATATTAAGTACATTGATGTTACTGTGCAGCCATCACCATCGTCTGTCTCCAGAACTGTTTTCATTATCCCAAACTGAAACTCCATACCCGTGAAACCATCATTATCATTCTCTCCTTCCCTCAGCCCCTGGCAGCCACTGTTTACTTTGTGAGACATGAGTCTTTTTTTTTTTGAGATGGAGTCTCACTGTCACCCAGGTTGGAGTGCAGCAGCGCAATCTTGGCTCACTGCCAACTCTCTCTCCTGGGTTCAAGTGATTCTCCTGCCTGAGCCTCCCAAGTAGCTGGGATTACAGATGCACGCCACCACACTCAGCTAATTTTTATATTTTTTGTAAAGACCAGGTTTTACCATGTTAGCCAGGCTGGTCTTCAGCTCCTAACCTTGGGTGGTCCACCCACTGCAGCCTCCCAAAGTGCTGGGATTACAGGTGTGAGCCACTGAGCCCAGCCAATGAGTCTTGAGAGTGACTTTCATTCTGAAATGATTTCGAAGGGTGGAAGTTCCTCATCCCCTCTCCAAATCCAGCCAGTCAGAGGCCTGCTTTGGAGGCAAAAGAGGTGCTTGAGTTGTCAGGGGCCTTTAAAACTCTATCCTTTAGAGTTTCTTTGCTCTGCTCACTGTAACTTCTGCCTCCTGAGTTCAAGTGATTCTCCTGCCTCAGCCTCGCAAGTAGCTGGGATTAGAGGTGTGTGCCACCAGAGTCAGCTAATTTTTTTTTTTTTTTTTTTTTTTTTGAGATAGAGTCTCGCTCTGTTGCCAGACTGGAGTGCAGTGGCATGATCTCAGCTCACTGCAACCTCTGCCTCTTGGGTTCAAGTGATTCCCCTGCCTCAGCCTCCCGAGTAGCTGGGACTACAGGCATGCATAACCACGCCCAGCTAAATTTTTTTTTTTTGTATTTTAGTAGAGACAGGGTTTCACCATGTTGGCCAGGATGGTTTCAATCTCTTGACTTCGTGATCTGCCCACCTCAGCCTCCCAAAGTGCTGGGATTACAGGCGTGAGCCACTGCCCAGCCTAATTTTTGTATTTTTAGTAGAGACACGGTTTCACCATGTTGGCCAGGCTAGTCTTGAACTCCTGACCTCAAGTGTTCCACCTGCCTCGGCTTCCCAAAGTGTTGGGAATACAGCAAGCATTCATTTCTTGGGGAAATAAAGTGGAGATGATAATAAGAGCATCCATGTCGGCCGGGCGCGGTGGCTCAAGCCTGTAATCCCAGCACTTTGGGAGGCCGAGGCGGGTGGATCACGAGGTCGAGAGATCGAGACCAACCTGGTCAACATGGTGAAACCCCGTCTCTACTAAAAATACAAAAAATTAGCTGGGCATGGTGGTGCGTGCCTATAATCCCAGCTACTCAGGAGGCTGAGGCAGGAGAATTGCCTGAACCCAGGAGGCGGAGGTTGTGGTGAGCCGAGATCGCGCCATTGCACTCCAGCCTGGGTAACAAGAGCGAAACTCCGTCTCAAAAAAAAAAAAAAAAAAAAAAAAAAGAGCATCCATGTCATAGGGTTGTCAGGAAGAAGAGCTCATCCTGTTCCCAAGCTAATCCAGGAAGCACAGGTATCACTGGGCTGCAAGAGAGGGAGCCCTTAGTCAATGGCAGCCTTGAGAAAGCCAGTCTGAGGAATAAGACCTGGAGGAGCAGGGCTAAGGAGCAGGACTGATCACCCAAGGACCTGTCCCAATAATGGCTTCCTACCTCTTGGCCCTCATCTGTAATCTTGCAGCTCAAAGCATGGCACATGAACAGCGCAACCGGCATCATTCCAGAGCTTATTAGAAAGATAGTCTCTCTGTTGGGTGTAGTGGCTCATACTTGTAATCCCAGCACTTTGGGGAAAAAAAAAAAAAAAGATGGGTTTAATGCAACATGCCTTTAGTCCCAACTATTTGGGAGACTGACATGGGAGGTGGGAGGATCACCTGAGCCCAGGAGTTCGAGGCTGCTGTGAGCTATGATTATACCACCGCACTCCAGCCTGGGTGATAGAGTGAAACCCTGTCTCAACAACAACAACAAAGACAGACTCTCAGGCTCCGCCCCAGACCTGCTGAATCAGAATCTGCATTTTGATGAGATCCCCGGTCATCTGGGAAGAACTGGTCTGAGGTGGTAACCCCCACAGTGACTCTGAGACAGGTACTCTGCCAAGTCTTTTCCATTCATTCTCTCACTGAAACAACCCTCTGGCCGAGAGATGCTAATGACCTTCTTTTTCCGATCAGGAAATTGAGGCCCAAAGAGTTTGTATGTCTTGGCCAAGGTCGCCCATCTAGTGAGGAGCAAAGCCGAGAGGGGAAACTAGCCTCTACCCTATTCCTAAAACTCAAAAGATGGTAATATGGGGTACAGGAGACCCTCGTGATTCAAATGTGGAAGCATTCTAAGACCTCTTAAACCCAGATTGATAAAAGGGGGATTGTTTGCTCAAGCTCCCAGGGGTCTCCTGAATAATATTTCAGTTTGAGGGATAATACATTTAACTTTTGTGAAATTTATTTAGGAGCTTTCTCTTGGCCATTTTTTTAGGGAGCAGAAGTTGTTTTACTTCAAAAGTTGTTTTATTTCAAAACCTTTTCTTTTTTTTTTTTTTTTTTTTTGAGACGGAGTTTGGAGTTTCGCTCTTGTTACCCAGGCTGGAGTGCAATGGCGTGATCTCGGCTCACCGCAACCTCTGCCTTCTGGGTTCAGGCAATTCTCCTGCCTCAGCCTCCTGAGTAGCTGGGATTACAGGCAGGCGCCACCATGCCCAGCTAATTTTTTGTATTTTTAGCAGAGACAGGGTTTCACCATGTTGACCAGGATGGTCTCGATCTCTTGACCTTGTGATCCACCCGCCTCGGCCTCCCAAAGTGCTGGGATTACAGGCTTGAGCCACCGCGCCCGGCCTTTATTTCAAAACCTCAGTTGCATTGAAGAAGACTAGTTGCTCCAGCCTAGGGCAACAGAGTGAGACCCTGTTTCAAAAAAAAAAAAAAAAAAAACAGTCCCACTGGGGTACACATTCTGGGTGGTCACTGGGATGATTTGCCAAGTGACCTTCTCCAGTCTCAGAATGCTCACTGTTAATATTCCTGTTCCACCAAAAGCCATATCATTTGATGTCAATGACCTTCAGGATAATCTAGGAAGAACCCAAGCAGTACATTTGTTCTGAGTTTAGAGTAATGTGTTCCATTATGCATCCTGCAGAAAACTCCTGGAAGGTGAAGAGTGTCGGATTGGCTTTGGCCCAGTTCCTTTCTCACTTTCGGAAGGACTCCCCAAAATTCCCTCTGTGCCCACTCACATAAAGGTCAAAAGCGAAGAGAAGATCAAAGTGGTAGAGAAGTCTGAGAAAGAAACTGTGATTGTGGAGGAACAGACGGAGGAGACCCAAGTGACCGAAGAAGTGACCGAAGAAGAAGAGAAAGAGGTCAAAGAGGAGGAGGGCAAGGAGGAAGAAGGGGCTGAAGAGGAGGAGGCAGCACGGGGAGGAGAAGAAGTAAAGTCTCCCCCAGCAGAAGAGGCCGCATCCCCAGAGAAGGAAGCCAAGTCCCCGGCGAAGGAAGAGGCAAAGTCACCAGCTGAGGCCAAGTCCCCAGAGAAAGAGGAAGCAAAATCTCCAGCTGAGGCCAAGTCCCCCGAGAAGGCCAAGTCCCCGGCAAAGGAAGAGGCAAAGTCACCAGTAGAGGCCAAGTCTCCAGAGAAGGCCAAGTCCCCAGAGAAAGAGGAAGCAAAATCTCCAGCTGAGGCCAAGTCCCCCGAGAAGGCCAAGTCCCCAGCAAAGGAAGAGGCAAAGTCACCAGTAGAGGCCAAGTCTCCAGAGAAGGCCAAGTCCCCAGCGAAGGAAGAGGCAAAGTCACCGGCTGAGGCCAAATCCCCAGTGAAGGAGGAAGCAAAGTCCCCCGAGAAGGCCAAGTCCCCAGTGAAGGAGGAAGCAAAGTCCCCCGAGAAGGCCAAGTCCCCAGTGAAGGAAGAAGTGAAGTCCCCTGAGAAGGCCAAGTCCCCAGTGAAGGAGGAAGCAAAGTCCCCTGAGAAGGCCAAGTCCCCAGTGAAGGAAGAAGCGAAGTCCCCCGAGAAGGCCAAGTCCCCAGTGAAGGAAGAAGCGAAGTCCCCTGAGAAGGCCAAGACTCCTGATGTGAAGTCTCCAGAAGCTAAGACCCCAGCAAAGGAGGAAGCAAAGTCCCCTGCAGACAAATCCCCCGAAAAGGCCAAAAGCCCTGTCAAGGAGGAGGTCAAGTCCCCAGAGAAGGCGAAGTCTCCCCTGAAGGAGGATGCCAAGGCCCCTGAGAAGGAGATCCCAAAGAAGGAAGAGGTGAAGTCCCCAGTGAAGGAGGAGAAGCCCCAGGAGGTGAAAGTCAAAGAGCCCCCAAAGAAGGCAGAAGAAGAGAAAGCTCCCACCACACCAAAAACGGAGAAGGACAGCAAGAAAGAGGAGGCACCCAAGAAGGAGGCTGCAAAGCCTGAGGTGGAGAAGAAGGAACCTGCCGTTGAAAAGCCCAAAGAATCCAAAGGCGAAGCCAAAAAGGAAGAGGCTGAAGATAAGAAAAAGGCAGCCACCCCAGAGAAGGAGGCTCCTGCCAAGGCGGCGGTGAAGGAAGACGCTAAACCCAAAGAGAAGACAGAGGTGGCCAAGAAAGAACCAGATGATGCCAAGGCCAAGGAACCCAGCAAACCAGCAGAGAAGGAGGCGGCCGCGGCAGCACCGGAGAAAAAAGACAGCAAGGAGGAGCAGGCCAGCGAGGCCAAGAAGCCTGACGAGAAACCCAAGACAGAGGCCAGAGCCAAGGAGGATGACAAGACCCTCTCAAAGGAGCCCAGCAAACCGAAGGCGGAAAAGGCTGAAAAATCCTCCAGCACAGACCAAAAAGACAGCAGGCCTCCAGAGAAGGCCACAGAAGACAAAGCCGCCAAGGGGAAGTAAGGCGTGGAGGAAGAAACGTCTGGAGCAGCCAAAGAGACTCAGAAGGGTCCCGGAGCTCAAGGATCAGAGTAACGTAATTTTCACTTTTCCTCTCTTTATGTAAGAAGAAACTGCTAAGATGACGGGGCCTCCTTCTTCAAACAGGAATTTCTGTTAGCAGTATGTTAGCAAGAGAGGGCACTTCCAGCCCCCTGCCCCCACACCCTCCCCAGGTGATGGACAATTATGTTATGATAGCTTATGTAGCTGAATGTGATATATGCCGAATGCCACACTTAAACACTTGACTATAAGAACTGCCCCCCCTTTCCAAATAAGTGCATTTATTGCCTCTATGTGCAACTGACAGATGACCGCAATAATGAATGAGCAGTTAGAACACATTATGCTTGAGATGTCTTAACCTATTCCCAAATGCCTTCTGTTTTCCAAAGGAGTGGTCAAGCCCTTGCCCAGAGCTCTCTATTCTGGAAGAGCGACCCAGGTGGGGCTGGGCACTGGCCACTGAATTATGCCAGGGCGCACTTTCCACTGGATTCCACTTTCAATTGCTTCTGTGCAATAAAACCAAGTGCTTATAAAATGAAAATGTTGCCACTGTTATTTATTCTCTTCCCCTGGGAAGGCTAGGGGCAGAGCAGGGGAGGTCTGTATGTGACACCCAAGACTGCATGGGACTGAGCGAGCATCAGTTCTCTTGTGGGTCTAGAGTGACTTGCATGGTCTCTCTGGTGCTATTTCCTGGGCACAAACCATGTAGCAGGCTCACGCCTGTAATCCCAACACTGCTAGGGGCTTTATTTTTATGATCATAGGCAGGTGGCCTTGTGTCTGGTTTCTTAGTGTGGTCTGTGGACTGCCTTCATCAGCATCACTTGGGAACATTATAAAAGTACACACTCCAGCAGGACATGATGGCTCATGCCAATGAGGCCAACACTTTGGGAGGCCAAAGTGGGAGGATCGCTTGAGCCCAGGCAGCCTAGGCAACATAGTGAGACCCCATATCAAAAAAAGTTTTTTTTTTTTTTTTTTTTTTTTTTTTTTTTTTTTTAGTATTAGCTTGGTTTGGGCATGGTAGCTTTTGCCTGTAATCCCAGCATTTTGGGAGGCTGAGATGGTGGATCACTTGAGGTTAGGAGTTTGAGACCAGCCTGGCCAACATGGTGAATCCCTGTCTCTACTGAAAACACAAAAATTGGCTGGGCACAGTGGCTCACGCCTGTAATCCCAGCACTTTGGGAGGCTGAGGCAGGTGGATCACTTGAGGTCAGGAGTTTAAGACCAGCCTGGCCAACATGGCAAAACTCTATCTCTACTGAAAAACAAAAATTAGCTGGGTGTGGTGGTGCCCATCTGTAATCCTAGCAACTTGGGAGCCTGAAGCAGGAGAATCACTTGAACTCAGAAGGGCAGAGGTTGCAGTGAGCCAAGATTGTGCCACTGTACTCCAGCCTGAGTGACAGAGCAAGACTCTTGTCTCAAAAAAAAAAAAAAAAAAAAAAACAGGCCAGGCGCAGTGATTCACACCTATAATCCCAGCACTTTGGGAGGCTGAGATGGGTGGATAACGAGGTCAGGGGTTCGAGACCAGCCTGGCCAACACAGTGAAACCCCGTCTCTACTGAAAATACAAAAGTTAGCTGGACACAGTAGCAGGTGCCTGTAATTCCAGCTACTCATGAGGCTGAGTCCGGAGAATTGCTTGAACCTGACGGGGGCAGAGGTTGCAGTGAGCCAAATTGCACCACTGTACTCCAGCCTTGGCAACAGAGTGAGACTCCATTTCGAAAAAAAAATTAGCCAGGCATGGTGGCAGGTGCCTGTAATCCCACCTACCTGGGAGGCTGAGAGATGAGAATCACTTGAACCTGGGAGGCAGAGGTTGCATGAGCCGAGATTGCACCACTGCACTCCAGCCTGGGCAATACAGGAAAAAAGAGAAAGAAAATCAGCTGGGTATGGGGCACACACTTGTGGTCCCAGCTACTAGGGGGCTGAGGTAGAAGGATTATTTTAACCTAGGAGTTTAAAGCTGCGGTGAGCTATAATCACACACTGCACTCCAGCCTGGGTGAAAGAGTGAGACATTTTCTCCAAAAAACAGGGAGAGAGAAATGGCTTTGATTGACTGGCTCTTCATTATCAAACATGCCCAGTGACTCTATGAAAACCTAAGCATTAATTTTCCAGCAGCTCTGCCCTAGGGAAATCAGACCTCCACAGGCCCTGGCACATAGCTACAGCATCTGAATATCAAACTGGGATCTAAGACCCAGGAAATTCCCATGTGTCTTGTCTGAAAAAAGTTAGTTGAGAACCTCAAAATACTTACAATGATGAAAAGTATCATTTGTTGAGATAACCGTGTTTTTACATAAATTCCCTCCAGTCCACATGGGCATTTTTCAACGTAGAGATTCTGGTGCCTATTTTATTGGTGAGAAAACAGGTGAGGTGAGTTGTGAGGTGAGTTGCCCAGAGCCACACAGCTAGTTAGTGATAGTGCCAGAATTTGAACCCAAAGCTTAACTCCAGAGTCCATGTTTTCTATAGTACCATGCCACAGAATCCTGAGCAAGCTGCTTTGGTGCTTCATTGGTTTAATTTTGGTCATCAAATGACTACTGTGTCAGGTGTCAACTGTCCCAATTTACCTGGGATATAGGAGTTTCCCAAGATTTAGGACCTTCAGTGTTAAAACCAAGAAAGTCCTGGGCAAATCGGGATGAATTGTTCCCCCTAATGTTTGGGCAGTCATTCTAGCACATTTCAGAATATTGCAAGTGACAAAACCGAAAAAGCAACATTCAAAGGCTGAAGTGAAGTCACCAGACTTGGTCACGTCTTGGCTCTCAGGTCTGTTTACCTCAGTATTGGCTTCTGTGATAGGCTTCCTCTAAGAAGGCTCCAATGGCCAGGCACCTGTAATCCCAGCACTTTGGGAAGCTGAGGCAGGAGGATTGCATGAGACCAGGAGTTTGAATCCAGCCTGGGCAACACAGACTCTGTCTGCAAATATTTAACAACTACAATAAAAACTATTTGGCATGGTGGTGCATGCCTGTAGTCACAGCTACTTAGGAGGCTGAGGCAGGATGATTGCTTGTGCCCAGGAGTTCAAGGTTGCAGAGAGCTATGATTGCTACCACTGTACTCCAGCCTAGGTGACAGAGCAAAACCCTGTCTCTAAGAAATAAATTAAAAATTAATATAATAAAATGGTTCCCAACAATTCCCACTTCCTGTTATTTATGCTCTTTTGTAATCCCCTCCTCTTCAATGTAGGCCTGACCTAGTAATTTGTTCTAATAACTAGCATATGGCAAAATGATGGAATATCATTTCCGTGAGTAGTTTACAAGAAGACTCTGGCTTCTGTTTTGCTTGCTCTCACTCTGATGGAAGCCAACTACCACTTTATGAGTTGCCCTAAAGAGACACCCACATGGTAAGGAACTGAAGGAGCCCTTTGGCCCATAGCCAGTAAGGAACTGAGGTCCTAAATTCAACAAGAAACTGAATTCTACTAATAACCACATGAGTGAGAATGGAAGCAGATTTTTCCCAGCTGAGCCATCAGATGAGACTGCAACGCCATCTAACACCCTGATTGCAGCCTTGTGAGAGGCCTTAAGGAAGAGTCACCCAGCTAAGCGTGCCTGGATAATAATAAATGTTTGTTGTTTGAAGTCACCAAGTTTTTGGGTAATTTGTTACACAGAAATAGATATAACTAAACTTCTCTTTCAGAAAGGCCTTCTCTTCATGGAGATCCTCAGCTATGATAGGCTTATAGTCTTCCAGGTACAAAACAAATTCTGTTCATAACAGTCCAAATCAAAGTGTGAGAAGTAAGTCTCAGTGGCAGATGGGGTCATGTGCCCATCCTGAAATTAACTGCTGTGGCCAGGGAGGATGGGACACACTTACTGGATCTGCTGGGTCACATGCCCAACTCTAGACCCAGGAATGGAGTGACCCCATCTGAACCACATAAATTGGACCTGACATTTCAGAACCCAAGGGTAGAGAGACTCCTAAGAGCTTCCAGAGAGAGGGAAGAAAAAGCAGGGTCAAAAATCAAAATGGCCCCAAACTTCTCAGCAGCAATGGTGGAAACTGCTTGGAAGCCTATACTGATAAATCATAAATCAAGCATGAGGGTAGAAAAAGGACAATTTCAGGCTTAAGAAGTCCCCCAAAATTACTTCCTATAAATTACTGGAGGATATGCTTCAACAAAAAGTGAGCATAAACCAGGAAATAGAAACTCTGGGAATACAGAAAATGGGCTATACAGATAAGACAGAAGGGACTCTTCAGGTCTATGACAAAGAGAAATTGAAGGACAATAGCTATGCAGTCTCTATCCAGATTGGAGTGAATCTGGGGGAAGAGGGGAAGTTCTGAGAAAAAAAAACTGACAAATTATTAACATGATTGAACATGGGTAAAATTGAATTGAAACTCTTTTACTGGACCAGGAACAGTGGCTCACGCCTATAATCCCAGCACTAGGTAGGTGGATCACAAGGTCAGGAGTTTGAGACCAGCCTGACCAACATGGTGAAATCCTGTCTTTACTAAAAATACAAAAATTAGCCAGGCATGGTGGTGTTCACCTGTAGTCCCAGCTACTTGGGAGGCTAAGGCAGGGAGAATCGCTTGAACCTGAGAGGCGGAGGTTTCAGTGAGCCAAGATTGAGCCATTGAACTCCAGCCTGGGCAACAGAGCAAGACTCCATCTCGAAAAAATTAAAAAAAGTATTCTATTGAACTGCTGGAGACTGTGGGAATATTTAGTCAATTTCAAAGACAACACAACAAATAATAAAAGGAAGGCAAACATTAACCTCAGGAGAAATAAAAAATTATGTGTAAAAAGAAGTGTAATTATTATACACTAGCCAATTCAACAGGTAACAGTATTTACCTAATAGCAACAAAAGCAACGAATATGGATTATACCAAAAAGTAAGCTAAATAAATGGGAAAGATGGGAAAAGGGACAAAGGCATGTGTGACTGATCAAAAATACTCATCTCAGCTGGATGTGGTGGCCCATGCCTATAATCCCAGCACTTTGGGAGACTGAGGTGGGCCGAGCGCTTGAGCCCAGGAGTTTCAGACCAGCCTGGCTAACATAGTGAGACCTCATTTCTATTAAAATAAATAAAAATTAGCTGGCCATGGTGGCCTGTGCCTGGAGTCCCAAAGGCTGAGATGGGAGGATAGCTTGAGTCTGAGAATTTGAAGTTGCAGCAAATTCTGATGAAGCCACTGTACTCCACCCTGGGCAACAGATGGAGACCCTGTCTCGAATAAAATAAAGTTTCCCTGGGTGAACCTTACTTAGAAAACCTACATTTATTTATTTATATATTTATTTTTCTTTCTTCTTCTTCTTTTTTTTTTTTTTTGAGATGGAGTCTCACTCTGTAGCCCAGGCTGGAGTGCAGTGGCACGATCTTGGCTTACTGCAACCTCTGCCTCTTGGGTTCAAGTGATTCTCCTGCCTCAGTCTCCTGAGTAGCTGGGATTACAGGTGCACACCACCGTGCCAAGTTAATTTTTGTATTATTCGTA